CCCATTGTGCACGGATTGGCACGAGCGAGCGGGACGAGATGTACTTGATCGGACAACGTGCAGTACAGGAACGTGACGCAAAGATGAATGAGGAGATCAAAATGCTAGAGATCGAGCTCATCAAGGAAACGCATTACATGATCGCACCACGCGGAGAGATCAAGAGTTTGTCGACGTGACTCGCGAACTCGCTGTATCAAGACAAAAGGCTATTGATGGAGATCCGATTACCTCAGCCAGATCGCTGCAATGCCCGAAGAAATCGAAGAGACACGAAGGGAACCCAAGATCCAAGAGAGTACGCGTGTGCAGGCCTTGAAGCCGTCTCTTATGTTCTCCTCTGTTCTGGCAGCGGGGGGGGGTTGATGGGGGGTAATGATGATGTTGGTGCGCTGGTGATGCATTTCGTTTTTACATGGCCCCCGGGTGGCTATAACTCCCGACCCCCCGGGGATAACCCCCGTAAAGTGAATTGCCGCAGTCTTTTTTTTTTGCTTTTGTGTTTTGAGGGTCCTGGAGGTGTTTTATGTGTTTGTGTCCAAGCCGAACGGTGCTCCCAGGTACCGCTCCGGCCTTGTTTTCTATTTCTGGGTTTTGCACCTTTGCGCCGGTTTGGATGATGCGGAGACGCGGGCCTAGGGATTCCTGTGTCTGTGATGCCGCTTTTTGTGGCCCGTTTTGCTGATTCTTGCCCATCAGAACGCAGTAGTGAATCAGCAGCAGGTAGTACAGGATTCCACACCCGATAGGTGTTGCCAGGCATGAAGATCTTGACCCTTTCTTGACCGTGCCATTGAGAGTACTCCAACCAGAGTTGTTGATCATGGTGTTCAGCACGTGCAGATTGACCACGTTCCACGTCCATGATTCGAAGACACGGAGTGCAAAAGACTGATGCTACGCCAGTGTCTCAGCAGCTGAATCAACCAAGATCAAAGGGCAACGCAAGCAGGCAAAACAAAAAGACCACTGGTCATTCCAAACGCAAGAGAAAACTTTTTAGCCGGCAATGTGCACAATGGCCATCATCAAAAACAGACCACAACGGAAGTCAACAAACAAAGACAACGACAGCCATTTCAAACAAAAGGAAGCATCGAAAGACAACGAGGCCACTCACTAGCGCTGATGTAGTTGATGAGCCCAGCACCTGCAATGAAAGTGGGCAACATCTCGCCGGACACACTGGGCGAGACACCTCTTACCATTGATGAGCTTGGCGTGCCAGCGCACAGGAATTGGACGTCAGTCGTGGGGTCCGCGATCTTCTGGGCATGAAAAAGCAGTGCGAGGTCGGCGAGAACAGCTGGAATCGCTCGAGGAAACAGGGCCCCTGCAATGTCAACGTCTGCCCTTCACGATTGAGTCCGCGCAGTGGTCAGTCTGGATGTGGCCAATGAGGTGGTGGTGGTGGTGTTGGAGGTGGGGGCCACGGTTGGTAGCTCTTGATGATCTAATGAAGCCTGCGTAGGAGGTGACGGAGGTGGGGAAAGAGGTTGAAGTGCATGCGTATCATGCGCTGGCCCGCACGTCTTCCATGTAACAAGAGTCTGAACACTTGAACACTTTGATCCATCATGTCTGCAAGAACATGCAAGCAAACCGAGCAAGTCACGACAAGCAGAAACACGCAAAGGCGTTTTCTGCCACGGTATAGACTAGGCAACCAGCTTCTGGCACACTTTCCAGGCTCGCTTCACATCCTCAGCTCTTCTTCATGGATTTGCACGTACGCCTGGAATCCTTGTCAGATTTGCGCTTCACTAGCTTGTCCAATCCTAAGTCCAGGCCACAAAAGGTTGTGGGAATGCATTCCTGACCGCAAAAAATACAAGAGCGCAGCATGCTGGGTAGACCATGTGGGATTGCAGCTGAAGGCCGAAAAGAGGAAGCTTCCGGGTCCGGAGCGATCGAATCATCAGAAGCGCAACATGACAAGGTAACTGTCCTGGCTTGGTTCACCATTGTAGTAGTCCTTGGTGCCTCCCGGAGACGAAGAGGCGGTGATTCAGGTGGGACGCGGTCCTCTGGGTGTGGATGTGGAAGAGGAACAAACCAAGTGTAAGTAGTCTCGTGCGGGTAGGAGGTGGCGAGTTGATCGCGTAGTTCAATGTGTCCAACGCCGTATCTGAGAAGATATACTGCATTGAGGATGGTCACCAAGTTAGTCCCAAACTCAGTAGACAGCAACATAGCGCAAACCGCAACTCACTACCAGATCAACAAGAACGGCTGCAACCTCTGGGCAGTCAACAGTTCATGGATCGTGACCTGTGTCTTCGCGCCTCACGTCGATGAGAGACGCTAAGTGGCGCAGCAGGATTGTGGGCCGCTGGGGTGGTAGTAGTAGCAAAGAAAGTGGGTGTAGAGCTGGCCGCCAATGAATGGGATGAAGTGATTGGAGGAGGAGGTGTTGCTGGTGGAGCAGGAGGTTCAGAATGTTGATGTAGAGAAGGTGGAGGCGGGTTCATCTGTTGAGCTTCAAGGCGTCGTTGACCCGCAAGCAAGATATTCATCTGCGCTGTCATCGCAACCAAGAGATTTCGACACTCTCGTAGTAGGTCTGCGTGATCCATAGTCAACAAAGAAGTCAAGTTACGGTGTCGATTCAACAAGTAGCTGCAGTACACATCAAGGCAATGCAACAATCAAACAAGGACCAAAGCGGCATGCCAAGAGTCACAACGCAAGAGCATATTTTCAAGGAAGAGAGACAATCACACATCATGGTGCCGCCCGGTGCCGCCGCCCCCGCGGGGTCACTGTCCTGTATGTTGGCCTTTGAGGTAGACCCCGGGTCTGTGGGTGCTTTGGTAGGCTCTCGTTTCCTTGGGCAGCGTTCCTTTGACTTTCCGGTATGTCGGCCTCTGAGGCAGACTGCGGCGGATATTCGGGCTGCCTTTTGGTAGTGGTTCTTTTTTTTGTTTGGGGACTTGCCTATATGCTGGTCTCTGAGGTAGACCCCGGGGTCTGCCAAAATTGTCGGGCGGCTGTGGCTGGGAGAGAAGCACTAGAGGAGCAGAAGAGGAGTGCGGGAACAGCACTACAATCCCTCTCGGTTGGTACTGCTGTGCTTTCATAATACTACTACTCTAATGCTATTGCTGATGCAGAGCTCATCTCTACCTCCTCTCCTGCTCTTGGAGTTCTCCTCCACTCCTGGACTACTCGCTCCTCCAATACTCCTCAGTACACCAGCCGCAAAAACTTCAGGCCGCCCCCGCGGCTAATGTTTCTCTGAGGCTCTTCTGTGGCTTGTCTGGTGCTCTGCTCGTGCTGTGCTTCACTAGCGAAGAAGAAGTTGGGGTGGAAAAAAAAAGGAGCAGAAGATGGTGAGCGCCAGAACAAGAACGGCAGTAGGGGAGCGTTTGTCTCTCTATCTGTTTATCCCTCTATCTGTCTTTGTCTATCTATTCATCAATCTGTTATATCTTTCTGTGCGCCAGCCCTGTTTATGTGGCTGGGCGGCTTCGAGGGAGGGGTCGTCAAGTTTCCGTCGCGCGTTTTGCGCCTGCGCAGCTTTTGGCTTAGCACTTGCTAGCGCCATCTGCGCTCGAGTGGCGGGGGAAGGAGATGCTTCTTGGGCCTCAGAAAGTGTTCTTTCGTTGGCTCGGGTCTTCGAGCGGCAGCACTTCGCCTTTGCCTTGTCAACATACGAGCAGGCGAAGTTGGAAGGCGGCTTTGCTCTTGCCGATCACTGGCTAGCAGCCCGCGCAGCTCCACCTTCCTCCCCAGCATGTGCAAGGGGGTTGTTGTGGAGGAGCAGGCGAGGAAGTTTAAGCAAAGGGGCTGCTCTGGCCACCGGATTGGGCAGCAGCCTGCAGGCGCTTACGCTAAGGAGCCTGTGGGCCCCGTAGTGTCAGTCTGATTGACAGAGCTGCAGGCGCCATTGCCTTGCCTGATCTGCGCATCCTCAACCGCCCACCACGATACACAAGGCAGCAACTGCAATTGAATTGAGTATCACCCAGGACGCAAGCAGCCCTCCATCAACCGGACTGCCACATCTCGCCCGTTTTGATCTCTATCTGTCTGTATCTGTGTGTTTATCCATGTGCTACCTGGCTTAGGGTTGGCGTGGTCTGACAAGATGGAAGAGCTAGGGGCCCGGGGCCGCAAATTGATCCAGCTGGATGAACGAGGAGGCGCTTGCGCTCATCTCTCTCCCTTGCTTGATGGGTAGATGGAGGGGTAGGTAGGTTGGTTAGGTGCTGCCTCCTGCCACGCGCCCACTTCACCTCAGTCGGGATGAAATCGGACCGCGCCTGTCCAGAGCGATGCCTTGAAAAAGACGAGATCAGCCCAAATTGTTGCGGCCCCTCACCTCCTGGGCCAAGAAGCTACGTCTGGTCGACATGCCAATCCAGGCAAACTTGAAACGGAGCACATTGCGCGGGGTTGGTGGCCGGTGGTTGAGCACCACCACTGAGGCGCACAATGCCACACCCCCCAGCTGTCGCCAGTAGCGCCTCGTCAGTGTGAAACATGAAGCTAACCAGCAAAGAGAACAATCTCTCCTCTCTCTCTCTCAGCCAGTTTGGGTCAAGACCTTGAGCCAAATGATTGAAGAATAAGTGTGTCTACCGAAGCCAAAGCTCAAGGGCACAAGGATAGAGGGCCAGACAACCTTGCTGACTGGGCGGTGAAGAAAACAGAAGGAAGGTCCAACTTTTAGGAGGCTGGACTGGTGGGTGGCTGGCCCGCCAGGCTTTCAGCTTCACCAGGCTAAAGGGCTTGGCACGCAGTGGCGGACGGACATGGCAATGCGGCAGTGGCTTCGACAACCCACTAGTTTTATGGAATTTCGGCATTTTGTCATGGGCCCTTTTCCCATAGACACCCAGTATTTCTTCATGGACGTTCAACTTTGAACATGGACACCGGAAACCCCACCTCTTTCCATGGACATTCAATCATTCAGCACATGATGGGGAAATTGCTGTTGATTTGTTGTGTCCGGCGCGTTCGCATGTTCTGCTGTCTTGGTGCGCGGGCCAAGCCTTCTGCGGCATCTCTGACTCACAGGCGCTCTGGAACAAAGCACGCGCAGCCGCCTGGCAATCGCAACATACTGCCAAGCCGAACCAACGAAACAAGACCGAAGCTTCGCATCAATTGCGACTTGCGAAGCGTCGAAGCGGGCGCCTCAGGCCCGCCCAGGTCGGCGAAGGCATCCGCGTCCATGCCCTCGGAGAGAAAGGTGACGAAGGTGTCCTCATCCATGTGGCCTTCGCCGCCTTCGCCGCCTTCGCCGCCTTCGCCGCCTTCGCCGCCTACCAACTCCTCAAAGAGCTTCTCCTTGTGCGCGCGGTCGGCTTCGGCATTTTTGACTTTCCGGGCGAAGGCGACGCGCACGGCCTCGATGGCGGAGGCTTGCTTTTTGGTCGCCTTCTGGCGGAAGGTCCTCGTCAAGTTCACAGCGCGGCTGAGGCGCTGCTTGGAGCGCCCCGCGCGCATCCGCAGCGGCTTGGTGTCCTCGGCGATCAGCGGCTCCAGCTCCTGATGCTTCGGATCCAAAGACGTAAGCTGCAGCACTTTTTTGGAGAAGGCCTCAGATTGGCGATGCCCCGTGCTGATCAGTGCCTCGCACGCATCAGCTTCACAAAGCATGTCATCCACTGGTGTCGAGCGCACTTTCGTCAATAACGGTGCAACCGTTGCTTCAATCTTTGCCAACATCTTGTCTAATTCCAAAGCTGACTTCTCCACTTCCTTGATCTTGTTCTTCAGCTTGGTGCGCACACCAGCAAGCACTTTGTCTCTTGCCTCTCGGGCGGCTTTGCGCTTTTTGTTCCTCTCCATCTCGCGGACAATGCCCATGGAACTGCGAAGCAAGTACATGTTTTCAAACGGAAGGCCCTTCTCCCCCTCATTCACAGCTCCTTTCCAGACTCTTTCGACGATCTCTTCATTGGCTGTCCGCATCTCACTCTTCACTGCTGCAGCCAGCTCACTGCGGGAAAGAAGCTGGTCTCCATCTTTGTCAAACTTTTTGAAGTGCAACTTCAAGTCCTCCGTGGTCCTCCGAGACTTCTCGCGCCGGACCGCATCCTCGCGCAACGCATTTCCAGCTTGCACGTAGCTGTCGCTGCAAGCGTCCATCCGCGAAGAGGCGAAGCTGCTCAGCCGCTGCAGCAGCTGGGGGATGAGGCTTGCCATCTCCGTCTCAGCGCCGGGGACTCCGGTGGGGATTGGGCCCGGCTTGGCCACAATGCTCATGGCCTCCTTGATGTCGGCGGTGCGGTTCAGGAACGCGGTGCAAGCGGCGGAAGAGGTCTTGGCCTCCAAGGCTGCTTTGGCAATGGCCTCTGCCAGCTCCTCCGCCTCCTGCAAGGAAGCCATGTTCTTTTCACTTCCTTCCTTCTCTTCTCCTTCTCCTTCGTTTCCATGAGCTCCTTCTTCGGCTTCTCCTTTTTCTCCTTCGTCGCCCATCTTCTCTTCTCCTCTCCCTCCTTCGGCTCCTTCGGCTCCTCCTTCTTTCCCTCCTTCGGCTTTCGCTTTTGCTCTTCCTAGGCCGGCGCGGGCGGCGGCGGCATCCAGGGCCCGGAAGGCCGCCTCCGCGGCGGCCACCAGCGCCCGCAGCTCCTCCCCGAACTCCGCCGCCCTCTCCTGTCGGGCGCTCGGGCGCTCGGGCGCTCTCGGGGAGCGCGCTCCACAGGGAAAAGACGAAAGGGGAAAAGACGAGAGAAAGAGACATGAAAGAAAAGGCAAAAAGAGGAAAAGGGAGCAAGGCGAAAACAAAAGAGAAGCAAAAGGCCAAAACAAACAGGAAGGGAACAGAAGGAAGAACAGAAGGAAGAGAAGAGAGCGCGCAACTTGTGTTACGACTCAAGAGCTTGGAAGCTTTCTCAAAAACAAGAATTCCTTTCTCGTTTCCTACTTCCCTCTTGTCTCCCTCGTCTCCCTCGTCTCCTGCTGCATTTGGAGCTTCCGTGTTTCTGCTTCCTTGGCCTCGAGCACGGAGGCGATGCGCCGCTTCGCCTGGTCCAAGCCGGCGCCCGCCTCCGCCAAAATCGCCTTCTCCTGGCCCCCCGTCTTCGCCAGCTCCTCCCTTGTATGAAGAGGGCGAAAACGGCTAGAGCGGCGAAAACGGCGAAAACGGCTAATGCAAGGCGAAGCAACAAATTGCGAAGAAACAAACAAATCGACCAACAGAGTCAAGAAAGAGCACCAGGAGCAACAACAGCTCTCTTACAAAGTTGGCACCGAACAAGTCAAGCTGCGGGAAGGATATCTGGTCCGAAAGCGCTCTGCCAAAAAGCAAACTTGCTCGGGTAGGTCGGGAGGGCTGTTGAGTTGGGCGGTGCACCCATCATGCCCCCCAGGAAAAAACAACGAGATAAAACAGGTGTCGGACAAAGCTGGCATGAGGCCTATGTGCTGGCACCCTGGCACGAAAAACGCGGTTGAAATGTCAAAGCGCGTTCCGACTCGATCTGAATCATTCTGAGAGTCATCAGCAAATCTTGGAGCTCCTTCTCCAATGTATCGATGTTAGCGGGCGTTGCCAGGCGAACTTTCTGGATGGTGCGCCGGAGGCTGAGAACCGCTCTCTGCTCCTGGCGACGCTTCTCCTCCATATCTTTCAGGCGCTTCATCTGTTCTTCCTTCGCTTTGGTCGCTTGGGCTTGGGCTTGGGCCGCTGCTTGAGCTTGGGCCTGGGCCGCTTGGGCCGCTTGGGCCGCTTGAGCAGCTCGCTCTGCCTCCTGCTGTTGCCACTGTCTCTGAGCCTGACGCAAAAACACCAAGCCCGCGCAAATAGACCTTCTCAGGTTTCGCCCTCAAACCCTTGCCGACCCTGGCTTAAATGGAACCGGTCAGCCACTGAAAGCAAAATCGTGTGATTGACCAACCTCACTGCACGCCTCTTGCTGCCTCTCCTCCTTACGAAGTGCCTCCTGCTGCATTTCGTAAGCTCTCACGGCCTCATTTGGCCATTGAGCTGCGGTTTGAGGCGCGTGCGTTGCATGTGCGTAGGCCACCGATGCGTGAGTCGCGTGAGTCGCGTGCGAGACTTGCGAGACTTCGGGTGATGTCGCTTGGAGGATGAAGGTGTTGTCCACGGGCCCGTCATATGGCACTTTCCAGCCACTCGGTGGTGGCTGAGGCTCGTTGGCTGGGTGATATGCCCAAACCTGGTCCCCACCAACTTTGGGTCCAAACCACCAGCCACAAAAACTCGGTCCATCCCGATCATCCCAAAAATATATCATGACATCCAGCCCATTCCATTGAGACTCCTTCTTGAAAATTGGCTTGCCATGGTTCTCACCATTCTGCAAGGTGAAGTATCCGCGAACGATGGGGGCCACTGTGGGGTGCTTGCACCCGGACACAACCAACCGCTGCGAGTCCTGGTGGCTTTGAACTGGCTGAAACTGAGCCGCCTGAGCTGCCTGAGCCGCCTGAGCTGCCTGAGCCGCCTGAGCTGCTTGTGCCGCCTGAGCCGCTTGTGCCGCTTGAGCCGCTTGTGCCGCTTGAGCTGCTTGTGCCGCTTGAGCCGCTTGTGCCGCTTGTGCCGCTTGAGCTACTTGGGCCGCAGAAGTTTGAGCCGCCGGCTGGGCGAAGGGGTACACCTGGTATGTCTGGGCGACATATGGGTACAAAGAACTGTATGGGAAACTCATGCTGGCCTATGAGCCAAAACAGCTACTCTGGCCAGCTAATGCTCCAAGGCATTTCATGGATCTGCGAAATGGCACAAGCTGTTTGCTTGCATGCAAGCTTTCTGGAACCAAGTGATTGCGAGTGACAGTGCGCACCGGGTGACACCTTGTGAACAGTCTGCCCTGTTCAATCCTCCAATTTTGAAGGATGCAATGAAAAAGATCTAGGGTCCAGCGGCTGTCCGGACCTTTGACCTCCCAAACGTGAGCATGGGTCCAATGCTGCCACTGTCACAAGTCCATCACCCGCGCCTCACCAGTCCAGGAAAGGATCCTGAGAAGCCGCGACGGCTGGTGGGGGCTCCTTGGAGTCCGGAATGTCCTGAAGGGCCGCATCCCGCACAAGCCTTGGCCCGGAGTGGCTTGGCGCGCCTCGTAATTGGAGGTGTCATTCTCATCCTGTCGACACGTTTCTCCACATGCAGAAACGTAACAGCCGACTGTCCTGCAAATTTGCGGCAATGAGTTGTCCAACATTGAAGAATTCCGGGATGGGATGACTAAACATACACACACATACGCACAAACATACATACATACACGCATGCGCTACACTCCACTTCCGCAACACTAGAATCTGCAAGTCGTTGCGTAGCCCAAGAGCACAAGCATAAGGGCACCAGACCATAAGACAAGGAAGATCAGACCAGAAGCATCAAAGAAATAAGAGCATAAGAGCATAAGAGCACAAAAACATAAGCACAAGAGAATAAGCGTAAGAGCATAAGAGCACGAGAGCACAAGAGCAGAAGAGCACAAGTTTAAGAGCATAAAAGTATAAGCATAAGACCACCAGAGCATAAAAACACAAGAGCATAAGCATAAGAGCACAAGAGCACCACAGCGTAAGCATAAGAGCACAAGAGCACAAGCGTAAGAGCACAAGAGCATACAAATACAACAGCATAAGCATAAGAGAATAAGAGCATACGAGACAAAAGCACAAGCAGAAGAGCATAAAGCACAAGAGCACAAAAGCATAAGCATAAAAGAACAAGAGTGCAAGAGCACAAGTGTGCAAGAGCACAAGAGCATAAAGCACAAGAGCACAAAAGCACAAAAGCACAAGAGCGTAAGCAAGAGAGCATAAGAGCATAAGAGCATGAGAGCATAAGAGCATGAGAGCATGAGAGCATGAGAGCATGAGAGCAGAAGAGCAGAAAAGCACAAGAACAAAATCACAACAACATAAGCACAAGACCATAAGAGCACAAGAGAATACTCATAAGAGAATAAGAGTAAGAGAAAAGCAATAGAACACAAGAGCAAAAGAACACAATAGCACCAAGGACAAGAGCACAAGAGCACGAGAACACCACAGCATCAGAGCATCAGAACATAAGAGCAAAAGAGCATAAGCATAAGAGCAAAAAACATAAGAACACAAGAGCATGAAGGACAAGAGCAACAGAGCAAGACAGCACCAGAGAGCATAAGAGCAAAAGAGGATAACCATAAGAGCATGACAGCATGAGCATAAGAGCATAAACGCACAAGAACAAAAGAGCACAACAGAATAGGCATAAGAGCATAAGAGCCCAAGAGCAAAAAAAGCACATAAGAGCATAAGAGAACAAGAGCACAAGAGCACAAAAGCACAAGACCGCAAGAGCACGAGAGCACAAGAGCATAAGCAGAGGAGCATAAGAGCACAAGAGCAAGAGAGTATAAAAGCACAAGGTCATAAATCACAAGAGCACGAGCGCACAAGAGAAAGAGTATACGAGCAGAAGAGCATAAGCATAAAAGGAGAACAAGACCACAAGAACACAAGAGCATAAAGCACAAGAGCACAAAAGCACAAGAGCGTAAGCAAGAGAGCATAAGAGCATAAGAGCATGAGAGCATAAGAGCATGACAGCATAAGAGCATGACAGCATAAGAGCATAAGAGCAAAAAAAGGTAAGAGCATAAGAGCAAAAGCATAAGAGCACAAGAGTGTGAGAGCAAAAGAGCATGAGAGCAAAAGAGCAAAAGAGCACAAGAACACAAGAGCATAAAGGACAAGAGCACAAGAGTACAAGAGCACAAGAGCATAAGAGCATAAGCATAAGAGCATAAGAGAACAAGAGAACAAGAGAACAAGAGCAAAAGAGCAAAAGAGCAAAAGCATAAGAGCATAGCATAAGAGCCCAACAGCATAAGAGCACAACAAAACACGCATAAGAGCATAAAAAATCCGCCGACCCCTTCTCCTCAAAGGGGGAGGCGCACGGGAAGGGTGGTTGCAGTACAAGCGCATGGATTAATCTTTGAGGCAAGCATATGACTACTGGCATCATACGGATGCCCATCATCATCATCATCATCATCATCGATATGATCCTTCATCATTCTTATCGTCAACATCATCATCATCATTTCTATATCCTTCAACATCATCATCCTCGTCATCATCCTTATTTTTTGATATACGTTTCAATTGTGGCGTTAGAGAGGGTTTGACATGCAAAAGCTGCGTGGACATGATGATCATGATGACTGCCCCCCCCGGCCCCTGAAGATTGGGGCTTAACGCCCCGCTCTGGCCCATTGTAGCTGCCACACAGGGGACTCATTTAGGCTTGGGCGCAGGGGGCGCTATCTCAAAAAATGAGCCCCTTACTTTTCGGCACAAGGAGTGCTAGGGATACTGGGCCCGTGGGGTAAGTCTCGGGCCGCCCTGGTGATGCCGAGGATGCTACGTTAGACACCATTGGCAATGCAGAGGATGCGACAACGATAGTTATGATCACAGTCCTCATCCTTATCATCACTAGCATCAGGTCATCATCATCTCTTATTAGCCGGCGCTGGTGATGCCGAGGATGCTACGATGATAGTTATCATCACAGTCTTCATCCTTGTCATCATTATCATCATGGTCATCATCATCTCTTATTAGCTGGCACTGGTGATGCCGAGGATCATCGTCTCTTAGAAGCCGGCACTGGTAATGCCGAGGATGCTACGATGGTAGTTACCATCACAGTCCTCAGTATCATCACGGTCATCACCATCTCTTATTAGGCAGCACTGGTGATGCAAAGGGTGCTACGATGATAGTTATCATCATAATCATCATCATGATCATCCTTATTATGATGTCATCGCTCTTCTCATCATCATCATCATCATGATGATCATCATCATCTCATTCTTGTTCGTATTCTTATTCTTATATGCATTTCAAAAGTAACGTTAGACCCCATTGGCAACGCAGAGGATGCTACGATGATAGTTATCATCACAGTCCTCATCCTTATCATCACTATCATCATGGTCATCATCATCTCTGGTTAGCCGGCACTGATGATGCCGAGGATGCCACGATGATATAACAGCCCGCATCATGGTCATCATCGTCTCTTAGTAGCCGGCACTGGCGATGCCGGGGATGCTACGATGATAGTTATCATCACAAGGTCCTCATCCTTGTCATCATTATCATCACGGTCATCATCATCTCTTATTAGGCAGCACTGGTGATGCAAAGGGTGTTACGATGATAGTTATCATCATAATCATCATCATGATCATCCTTATTATGATGTCATCGCTCTTCTCATCATCATCATGATGATCATCATCATCTCATTCTTGTTCTTATTCTTATATGCATTTCAAGCGTAACGTTAGACCCCATTGGCAATGCAAAGGATGCTACGACGATACTTATCATCACAGCCCTCATCCTTATCATCACTATCATCATGGTTATTATCATCTCTTATTAGCCGGCACTGGTGATGCCGAGGATGTCATCATCATCTCTTATTAGGCAGCACTGGTGATGCAAAGGGTGTTACGATGAAAGTTATCATCATAATCATCATCATGATCATCCTTACTATGATGTCATCGCTCTTCTCATCATCATGATGATCATCATCATCTCATTCTTGTTCCTTATTCTTATTTGCATTTCAATAGTACCGTTAGGCCCCAATTGGTAATGCAGAGGATGCTACGATGATAGTTATCATCACAGTCCTCATCCTTATCATCACTATCATCATGGTCATCATCATCTCTTGTCAGCCGGCACTGATGATGCCGAGGATGCTACGATGATATATATCATCACAGCCCTCATCTTTGTCATCGTAATCATCATGGTCATCATCGTCTCTTAGTAGGCAGCACTGGTGATGCAAAGGGTGTTACGATGATAGTTATCATCATAATCATCATCATGACCATCCTTATTATGATGTCATCGCTCTTCTCATCATCATCATGATGCTCATCATCATCTCATTCTTGTTCAAGGGCTGCCGCCCAGTGCCGCCGACCCCTGGATTTAGTTGTGGTTTTCGAGCAACCAAAAACACTGCCCTTGGTTTTGGTTTCTTTGGTTTCTTGCGAATGATGCGTAGTGATGATTATCATCAAGGCAGGACTCCAAATCTCAATGACCCAAATGGCATCTGAGGCGAGGTGCCGTTTCGACAGTGATGCGTAGTCATGATTATGATCATCGCTGCTGGAGATGCTGGGGATGCGTAGTGATGATTATCCTCATGATTGCCAGATGCTGCGAATGATGCGTAGTGATGATTATCATCAAGGCAGGACTCCAAATCTCAATGACACAAATGGCATCTGAGGCGAGGTGCCGTTTCGATAGTGATGCGTAGTCATGATCATCGCTAGGCACCCTTGGTAATGCAGAGGATGCTACGATGATAGTGATCATGACAGGGATCATTTGTTGCCCAGCAAGTCACAGTCCCTGTTCGTGTCTTCAAAAATGCAAACAAAACCCTGAAATACAAGATTAGCCTTTTGGGGCCACTAACATTTCACCCAAAAGAAACCAAAGAAACCAAAACCAAGGGCACTGTTTTTTGTGGCTCCAAAACCACAACTAATCCAGGGGTCGGCGGCACTGGGCGGCAGCCCTTAAATCCGGCCACCGGACGTGATCGGGCCGCAGGCCAAAGCCCGTTAGGGCTTACCTTCAGGTATAAGGCCGCGCGCCCCATGCCGCCGACCATGCGGGTACGTTGCGGGTACGTTTTGGGCTGGGCCTTCCTTATAAGGGGCGAAGGATTCGCGGATTGGTTTAGGCGATTTTTGTAGCATCTCCCTGCAGCGCCCAAAAACGCGCATTTTTAGGGGGTGCCTAATACTGGACAACACCCCCAGCATTGCCAGCATCATCCCGGATGATGCGGATGATGTTATGCATGCTGGCGATGCGGTGGATGCTGGGGATGGTGTCCCCTAAGTCGGGCCAATTTTGCCGAAAACGTGCAACCTGAAAATCTTAAAATCTAAAGTGGATGGAAATTGATGGAAAATGGCCTGGATTGAAATCTCAAAATCCTAAAGTCTTAGATTCTTAAAATCTTAAATTAAAATCTAACAATCAATCTTAGAATCTCAAGATCTTACAATCTTAGAACTTAGAATCT